TGGAAATTGTATCGCGTTCGTCTATTCCGCATATATGATGGAATTTGTCTTCCTTGTCGCCATTTATCAACTATGTATTATTCTTAATATCCAATTGTCACAGGTAATAAACGAAATGAAATGAATGGAAAAAGAAAGAAATTGTCTCTTTATTGTCATATTATTTATTTATTATTAATTAATTCACGAAATACTTAGGCTGTTTATCTTGTACATTTTCTCATTAATAAACGAAATGAAATGAATGGAAAAAGAAAAAAAATTGTCTCTTTATTATCATATTATTTATTAATTAATTCACGAAATACTTAGGCTGTTTATCTTGCATATTTTCTCATTTTTCACTTATATCGTCGTTATTCTTTCTACATTTTTTTCTTCCATAAATGTATCTTTTTTTTAATAATTAATGATACTTTAATCGAAATGAGTAAAGTGACTGATGTGTGTGTTTAATAATTGATTTCTTCGTAAGTTGGTTCGACATCGTCAAAATGTTCATTTTTATTTAGGATTATTTGTAAGTTTTTGTCGTCTTTGTACGAGGATATATTTCTGCAGAAGGATCTTCGGTATATGCGTTTCCATTCCAGCATGATATTTGCATGAATTTCTCTTCGTTCTACTTACATAAATCTGTCTAAAGCCGTAGTTATATTATAGCGGTTTCTAATTCGTTTGCCATTGTGATTGGCGATTGCTTTTCAACCAATCGGAACAAAACAGTCCGATTGCTTTGCTTTGATTGATTGAAAAGTAATATCAATCGCAATCGCAATCCAATCGGCAATCTTAGCGTGATTACAGCTTAAAGCGGTCAAGCCTAGACGATTCGTAGCGTTTTTTAATGAAAGAATGTTATTTATTTCACATGAGCATTAAAAAATACATTAATGAAAGTACTTCCCATCACTTGTAAAACGCTACGAATTAATTCCAACACCTAATATATGCACAATATTTGGTATTGCACAATATTATTGATTATCTGAAAGTTATATTAAGCCTCCAGATTGTTTTGAATTGTTTAAAGGGGGCATAATATAATATAAAATATTATATATAAAATAATTAATATTATATAAAATAATTATACAATAATATTGAGCGTCTAAAAGCCACTTAAATCATCGCCGCGTTGCACGATTCGATGAAAGTTTCTCCGAAACTTGGACGCGTTCCGGAACTTATTCACTACTTCGTTACACGTGAATCGTCCCGGTTAAGTTCATCGGCTAAAGTTAGCACGTGCATGGTGTGCGGAGCTAAGCTGGAGCAACGTGTCGTTCAATGCACAACCGGCGGATTTGTTTGTCGCGCGTTTCTATCGGCTTTGTGCGGCCGTTCACTGTCGCGTGATAATCCGTAGCCCTGACGTTCTCGCATGGCGCGGGGAAAACTCCCAGCTTTTTCCGCACCTTTTCCCGCCTATGCTCGATCATACCTCGATCGCGCCGCATTTGCTTCCGTACGGCGTGACGACGCCACCTCCCGTAGCTGACTCGTGTATTCGTAGTGTGCGTAAAACGCGATCGATGCCACCTCGCCAGAGAGGATCGTGTGCCTCCAGGTGTTCTTACGAGAGTATCTTCCACGCTTATCCTGCAGCCTTTAATATTGATTACGTTCATTTCATTACCCTCAATCTTGGAAATCTATGGAAATTTAACATTGATTGTATTTCACGAGATTTTTGTGATACGTTCTCTAGATTTTTTGGACTGAAAATTGAGCCAATCTTGAAAAAAGAATGAAAAGTTTTCACTCTTTTTTCAAGATTGGCTCAATTTTCAGTTTTTTGAAGTGAGATTTTACTCGAAAAGATTTAGAAAGCGAGAGGAATGATTTTGTAAGGTAGTTAAAAAAGGTTGATACAGATCTGCACTAAAAAAAATTTCTGGTTGAAAATGGATGAATCAGAATTTTTTGGTTAAATTTATTAGAATTTTAGTTGAGATAATTGGAATTCTGATTGATACAATATATTTCTGGTAAAATCTACTAGAATTTTTATCTTTAGTAGAATAATTATCAATCAGAATTTTACTTATTTCAACTAGAATTTTAGTAGATTTAATAAGAAAATTCTGATTCGTCCATTTTCCACCAGAATTATTATTTAATCCAACCAGATCATTTTTCTCAGTGAAAATAATTTTGTTGGACTATCAAAATAATTTGTAAGAAACTCAATCACGATGAGCATTGCTGCAACAAATTTTTATATTTTAGCAATTAACTGGCCATCCTTTAACATAATTATTTTGATAATCCAACAAAATTATTTTCAGATCTGTATCTAGCTAAATTTTTAAATACTTCAGCAAAACCATGAACAATTGTAACTTATGTAAGATACTCTATTCTTTTTTTAAGATGAAATTTATTATCGAAATCTGATAGAAGTAATTCTGATACTAGAACTATATCAATAAAGATCCTCCCTTTTTCATCCCTGATTGATATTTACTGATATCATTTTCAAAAATCGATATGATATCACATCTCGATACTAGGTTACAAGGTACAACGCTCGCATGCGAATTAACGAGTTTTGCAACGGTGCAATCGATGTGAAATTGAAGTTATTATTCGTGCGACAAAAACGCTTTCACGCCTGGCTTTGTGTAAATCCGAGAATTACACGCGGCCTTTCAGAATCCCATTGCTGATGTGCGTTTCACGGGAAACGACATGTTCTCTGTTGAACACGTCAATCGCGAGACGGCCATTCAAGGAAAATCTATGCGGATCCAGTGTACGAATCAATGACTCCCACGTGTCTCTGTTTTTCCTCACGTGTCACTCCGTACGTATCGCGAGCAGACAAGCCGCTCGCGTCGATAGACAGTTTGCTTTTCCATATTGCAAACACGGTTCTTCTCTGCATTCGTCCTCGATCTTTTCCAACAAAATGTATATCGTCTAACGTCACTTATTTCTAAGCACTCGATACTATGTAATAAAATTCTGTTTCTAATCCTCGAAGCTAATCCGCGAAGTTAATAGGCTAAATATTTAACTTTAAAGATGAGAGACGTTGCGAAAAAAGGATAGTATATGAATTTTTATTCAAGATAAGATCCATATTGAAAAAATTGAGAATTAACAGAACACAGAAAGAACAATTTTTATTTTGCTGAAATATATTTAACACAATTCAGCTAGATACAAATCCTGAAATAATTTTATTTGGACGTAATCATCAAAATGATTATGTAGAAATCTTAAACATGATAAGCAATGCTAAAAAGTTTTAACAAGCAACTAGTTCGGGCGCCTTACATAATTATTTTGATGATTCAACAAGATTATATTTCAGATCTGTTAAATCTTGTATCTTGTATCTTGTTAAATTTCTAAGTATTACAGCAAAATTATCCTTTCCATGAAAATATAATCAATCTAAAGCATCAACATACATAACGTAACTGATACATGAAAAGAATAATTTTATTAGTGTATTTACAAAATTAACTGACAACTGAAAATAATTTTGCTGGACTTTCAAAATAATTACGCTCAAACTTGATAATAATACTGCAAAACGTTTCCCTAGGACATCGAAAATTTTATTTTGCTAAAATTTTAGAATTTTCAACAAAATTCTTTTTTTGTACATACCGATGTTCCTAAATGTTTGAATTTCTAATAGCGAATTCAATTGGACGCAGTTAGATGCACTGGTACATATTTACACATTTAAACTGTACACTGAGTAAAAAACTATAATCTGAATAAAGATGATATACCTCAAACGATAAAATACCCAATACATATCTTAAACAGCATAAATTAAACAGCACAATAAAGTATATAGAGATTTCGCGGTTTTAATCCGTTTACATATTTTTATTTAAACATACATCTTTACATTGATTTGTATACGACAGTTTTAATGTGCAGCAGTTAGTGCGTCAAACTGAAATCGCTATTAGGCAAGATGTCTTACGAGATTCTGCCTTTTCCCAATGCGTAAATATTTATACAACGATGCTATTAGAATTTACAGAGACGCATGATCGCCCACACACCCAATTTCCAGACGTTAATGAACGCTCGAAAGAGTAATCGACCTCGTGGATTAAACTGGATCAGAGATTCTCTTATGTATGATAAAAATATCTGACCTTTTGGCTGCGCGTAACAGCGAATTCATTTTATCAACATTATTCAAATAATCGTTAATATTCAAATAATCATTAAAATTCTTAAGTTTTGCTTGCGATTTTATACGTATCTCTTTTTTAAACCTCAACTATTTTGAAGATCATTCTTATAATAATTTAATTTATTATTTATTAATTTATTATTTTTTACTGTTTTCGAAATAGTTTTTGAAATAATTGTCCATTGAGTTTTTCTGATGGACGTTCGTTCGATCTCTTGGAGAAGCCGATGTTATAACGTGTACAAGATTTTAAGCGAAATTCGATAATATTGAATTTTTGCAAAACTTCGATCCATTTCGCATTAGCTAGAGAACTTCTATAACATCTACTATAAATCTTTTCAGCATTCAAAAACTGTCACTTGCACGTTTAACTCAACCACTAGATATCCCCCTAGGTACGCCCATTTTGCACGCCAAATTCGTTTTCGTGGTTTCCTTCAATTTGTTCGCGTCAAATTATGAGATTCTACACTCTTGACGTTTCTGTATAATTTCAACTAGGACACCTTAAAGCGGATCCTTCACAGCGTTTAAATACTTCGGATTGAACATATAATTTTTATATATACTTATAAAGTATGTATTTCACTGTTTAATTTTCAAAAAATTTAAAATATTTTCCACAGTAATGTTTAAATAATTTATTTCCATTTGATAATTATGAAGTTATTTGCTAAGGTTTTTATATTAAAATCCTATGAGAAGTACTTTTTGGAGCAATTGTTACTTAAAATAATACTGATTTATATTTCTGCACTTTATTATAGTTTTATTATTCGATGTATAGATGAGGCGATATTTTAATATTTCCCTTTTTATGTTACAGAATTGCCAGCTGAGGAGGGTGAGTACCAACTTTCGACGTCGCTTGACGTAGTAGAAAACAGGTTTGCGACAAATTGGTATACAAATTACTTTTGATGTAGCAAGGCAAGTTTATAAATCGAGAACTTATCTTTTTTTTTCTTATGCCTCGTTTTTATGTCGAACTACTAACTTTGTCAGCGTTGTATTAGGTGCTAATTTATAATTTATAAGTTTCCGAATTTCTCTTCTCGCCTGTCTGGACAAACGTCGGTCGTTTGCAGGGAAGATTTTCGCCACGTGTTTGCTGTCAAAGTAGGTCAGCACGCTTGCTCTTGGAATTCCATAAGCTTTGAGAATTAGCATCGCTACGTTGCACTTACAAATGCAACACATTGTCGTCGATTTGATCCGCCGCTCGCAAAATCGCCTTTGCAACTTCTGAGAATTCTTGGGATTATATTCAGGAACTTTACAATGTCAATTAATCAAAACAAAAGGTGTGAAAAAACGGTATGAAAGACGAATATTCATGGAATGAGTACACCCATTTTTTATATATAAAAAAATAAAATATAAGAGATATGATAAATGCGGAATATAGGAAAATAAATATTCAATACTTTTTATGATAAATGCTTTTTATATTCGAGCTCTTTGAACGTAACGTCGAGCGTAGATCTTTCTAGCTTGCATTTTCTCTTTTTTTGATCTCTTTGGTAAATATCTCTTTCTAACTTTATATATCTCTCTTCTATAATTAAAAATCTGTAAATAATAAATCTAATCTGATACAATAACAAAAAATCTCCAATAAAATGTTCTTTTTCCGAGACTTATCTACTAATAAAGGATTATAGGAAGGCATCAGTCTGCTGAAAGTAAAATTGAAAATTTGTATTTTTCATATAAAAATAAATGCATTATATACATATGAAACGGTTTAATAAAATAATTATATTTAACGATGCAATTTTAAAATGAAAATTTTCTCATTTTATCTTAATTATTTTTTACAAATATGTCCACTTATTGAAATCATTTTTGTTTCAAATACTAAATCGCCGTCAAATTTTATATATTTAACTTTTCGTATATAATTTTTTTGTTTACAACTTCTTATATATAACTTTTAGATACAGTGTGGAAAAATTTTTAATATTTTTCATTTTGTTACAAAATACGTGCAATCCTTGAGGAGATAGCAGCAAAGATAAAGTATTTGATGAAACGTTCTATAGATATAAAATAAAGTATCGACAGAAGGAAATGTAGGAAAGGTATATTGCACGACTGTCACGAGAGACTTGCAGGATCCAGGGAATACCTGGGTCACTTGCCCCATTTGTCGAAAGACGTCAGCGCGTAACGCCGTACGTCGCCTTCGACTCGGCCGTAATTGTATCGGCATTGCATTCGACCCGCGCAAAGACTCGCGCTATCTTTCCGTCGCGTCGACCTTCGACAATGAATCGACCCGCCGTAGTCGCAGCTCTCGTTCGGCGTTATCGTTCATGACGCGGTATAGCTAGAATAAAAAAAAAGGAGAGCGAGAATCGAGAGAAAATTTTTCACATTTTCCTGAAAATACGTCCTGGATTGCATCAAACTGCTGAAATTGACTTCGATAAATCGGAGTCAAATTGGCTCGAAAGCGTGACAGCTGACGTTGACGACAGTTGACGATTAGATCGATTGCAGGCGTGGAATTTGTATCGCTATACTACGTATGAATGTAATATATTTCAATATATAATAGATTCTGCTAAAGCAATTACGTGAAAATTAGATCGACCCTGTCGCGACTATTAAAACGCGCAGCTTAATACGTTAATCAGTGAGATCGATCCCGTAAATAACAAATGTTTTCGGCTTTATCGAAGATAAATAGATGATAAGATATAAGCAATGGCCTTATTGAATTAATACCGTTTGAACGCAATAATATCCAAATTCCACTTAGTTCTTCGACTTATTCCGATAACGTAGAAATGAAGGTTTTTTTTTACCTTACAATGACGCGTGCTTTTCATTAGGAATATGATTTTTGCGAAGCTCCTACGAGAGTATTTTCTTTATATACAAGTAAATAGAACTATAGGCGTCGTTTTTTTCCTTTACAAGCCCAACATTGTTTGAATCAGTGATCTTGATTTCGTGGTAATTAGCATTACTTGACAGATTTGGTTATCTAAAAAATTATATTTAATGTTTTTGGCTTGAGAGAAAAAAAGAGAAAAGTGAGAGAAAAATTTTGTATTTGTAACCCTATAATTATGTATTACCGTAATTATAGTTATTACTGTTATTAAAATGTTAATCGAAGGTCACCGACATACCACTTTGTTTTTGGACATCTTTTAAATAAAAGTAAAAACATAAATACAAAATAGAAAATATCTTCTATCAAGTAATATAATAATTTTCATAATACTTATTTGTTAATTATGCAATAATTAACTTTTTCATAAGATAAGCAAAAATAAGCGTCTGATAAAATGAGTTCCAAAATTGTCACAGTAATATGCTACATATTCCTATTCTTTTTCTTTCTGGAATCATCTGTTTAAAATATAATAATAAATGTATAAGATTTTCTATAGACTCTTTTTATTTCGATATAAAATATTTTTTGTTGATTTATATGAATATTTTATGCTGTCCTATAAGACGTAATTTCTATTTTTGAGAATTTTCTCGTAAATGATTGCCTTCAGCTCCGAATAGGGCTATTTGATATTCTAATACAACACTAAAGATAAGTTAGCATATGATTTGTCTTAGACAGATGCATCGGTTCTCTCTCTCTCTCTCTCTCTCTCTCTCTCTCTCTCTCTCATACTACATTAAGATTTTATATTCAAAATCGTATTATGAAAAAAGAATAAAATGTAAATAAAACTGATTTAGAAAGTTACAAAGATGTAAAATGATGTATTATTATCAATAATATAGCTGTCGTAGGCAAATAGCATATTTCAGGAAAATAGCTTTTGACTAGGCAAATGCTATCTACTTGGTCAAATGGCTTTCGCTAGTTTCCAAAGTTTTTTCTAGTTATATGCTATTTTCCTAGGCAAATAGTATTTGCCTGAACGCTTTTTAGAAAAATGGGGTAATTATTTGAAAGAAGTAGGGGCGCATGACTACGTACTTTGCAAAAGAAAATCGTAAGAATTTTATTTTCGCATTTGTAGAATTCATTTTTAGTTGATTTTGTATGGAAACAAATATATGAATTTTTTTTCTAATTATCTAAACGAATCATGCTTTTATCTATATAAAATAATATAAAATAATATAATAATAACTATATAAAATAATAATAATAATTTTTTTCGAGAAATAGGAGAATATTGTTTCAGAAGACTTACATCAATATTGGCGACTTTCCTTTAATAACTATATATATAGTTTTATTAACAAATATATATATATATATATATGTATAGTTGGTACTGAATATGACAACAAATTATAGTTATTATCATAAAAACGATTGCAATTGTTATAAATTATAATAACATACAATTACAGTCATCAAAAACTTTTTCTCAATGTGGCTAATAGCAAATTGCAGTAATCTTTTCCGAAGTCTATTTTCTTGATGAATTTGAACGAGTAATTCGCACAATTAGAATAAAAGAAAGGGGAATACATAATAGGCGCACTCTCCCTCCTTTGGAGTCACACAATATTTTATCGTTTCACTGTTATCGCACTTTATATAATCCTGAAACGCGTCGGAGGAGAATGCGATCAAGGTCGTATTAATGAGATTCCTGTCGTAAATTAATCGCGCGGCCGGTTACAAACGCACAACTGCCTGTAATCATTGCCGCGTTCTGTCCGTCGTATATGTACCCGCGGTCTCTCTGTGCACGCCACGCTCTATCGGCCGATTGACAACGTCTATTGTCACACACTGAATCCGGTAATGAAGCATGTTGCACGTATGCACGTGGGTGAGGAGCAAGAAGGAGGAGGAGGACGTGGAGAAATGTGCGCTGGTCCGCAGCACTATACAGCACGTCATACCACGATATTAATTTCCGAGACGCGGCGGAATGTTCACTGAGATATTACGTACAATTTATGTAACGAAATGCATACGTGTAACGTGTTTGCGTTACACCAGGAGGAATACCGTGTATTAAAAGTGATCTTAATACACTATATTAATACAATTAATGTATGTATAGGAACATGCATATATAATTTACGTAATTGGCAGAATTAATGATGATTAGGATTGCGTCGTTTATGACTTAATCGATTGAAAACTTGGAATTTTACTATAATAGTATATAGCATTTTTATTTTTTAAGCAATTGTTCTCCGCTTAGCTATTTAAATTTTAATTTTATTGATCTTGTTTAATTAAACATTGTTGTATAGCCACTATTTAAATTACGCAATTTGCAAAAGAAAATCGTAAGAATTTTATTTTCGCATTTGTAGAATTCATGTTTAATTAATTGTTGGTATTTGTCAGTTATGTCAATGCAACAATATACCTGCTCAACTTAAAATATTTTGCTAACACAAATGCCTAATTCGTTAATTTTTATGTTGATTTTGTCATTTATTATTCGATTATACGAATGAATTTCAATGTAAAGATGCGGCTATTTCTATTTATTACTTAATCGTACAGCTAAGCGTTTGAAAAAGTTTGTCCTTGGAAATTATTTCTTTATTGCTGTCTTTCTCCTCTGATTAGCATATAATTTGATGCAATTTATAACTACTATTGACACACATTTTATTTATTATTACTTATTACTTTATTATTACGACTATTGTTGTCAAATCTTTTACGTGAAAAATGTTCAGTTTATTACTATAAAAATTATTATCTTACCATGGAAACTTCGTTATTTTGTCGCTTTGAATTTCTAAATATAATTCGTTATGTTCGTTAAAGAAGAAGAAAAAACATAATCTAATTCGCTGAAAGGAAAACGGTGCGAGGAAAATGGAGAGAAATGGAATGGAGAAAGCACGTGATACTTATATAATTGCTAGATAATCAAATTTTCGCACATCTCTTTGACGGCTGCTGTAAATTACAATTAATGAAATCATCAAGCGTGGAGCAATGACGTCAATCGCGTGTAAGCAAAAGGCGCCAGCTATCAAGGACGCCCAGGGCTTGCCCCTGACTAGTTTATAATTTTTATCCTTTCCTGACGCATATTCTAGAATCTGTCTTCAATCATGATGTAAGAAGACAAGGTGCCGAGGATGCGCAGTAGAAGAGTGAATTGTGGCCAAAATTTGATAGGCTATTCCAATATGCCAGCGCTATTATACGCAGGAAAGTACATATAGAGGCCACAATTTGATTAGTTGTTTTCAGTATTGCTATCGCCATTATGCGCAATGATACACCTTGTATTCTTACAAAAATTTTCGTAAATAGGTCTCATTTGTATGTCTTCGACGGTGTGTCCAACACATACAAATGAGACCTATTTACGAAAATTTTTCCTTATAACATCAAATTAGCTCCTCGTGTATACAAAGCATATGTTGCTTTCGATTAAACTAGAATCTTTAGACTAGCATATTACGTTGGAATGACAGATCTCACATTGAAAATGCAATTTGCTAAATTTTTCAATTGCTTTAGTAAATCGGATTTAAAAAAAAATAACTTTATAATTACTACATAAAAAATGTTTGATCTGATGACGTTGATGATATTAAGATTTTCGTGAAATATATTTATCATTAAATATTTTTCATTAAATATTTATCATTAAATATATTTTTAGTGTAGTACAAGGTGAAAGACACGTGACAGTTTTTCTTATAATTTTACCACAACAAATTTTTTTCCTTAATAAGAATCATAATACCACAGTGGACTATAAGTAAGAATTATAAAACCATTGTAGCGAAATTGCAAGAAAAACTTACAAAATATTTTTTCCTGAGACATAAAGCTCTGTCAATGAGACGTAAATACTATTTACGAACGCACGTTATGTTGCTAGTAATAATGCAAGGTCACGTAATAATGAGGTATTGTTGATAATTGTATGTAGTATTGATTTCATCATTGTATACTATATTATATGCTATGTTTAATGTAGATTTTTAATATACATGTTTTTAATATAGATTTTTTTTTTTTTAAGAACTAGCATCGATATATTCATATAATTATAATTGAATTGAGTATTTGTATTATTTTTACGTTAAAACATTAAGTGTACGTTGAGATAGAATTCAATATTTTATAATTTTTTTTTAAGTTTTATGCCAATTTGTCGTAATAATTATCACGTCAGGTATTAGAATAATATTAAAACTATTTATGAAATTAAAATTTGAATGGAAGAATTATGAGACATTGTTATATTATAACAAAAATGCATTTTTTCAATCTTCTCATATTTCATGCATTACGCAAAATTGTTGACAATACTTAATTTATTTTTTATTTACAGGAAAATCCATCTGGCAACTCGTCCTGGAACAGTTCGATGACCTTCTAGTTAAGATTCTTCTATTAGCTGCTATTATTTCTTTTGTAAGTATAAGATACCATAGATATATTAAAAATTATAAATCAAATTTTATTAATAAAGTTTAAATTTTTCATTAAACAGAAATTTGCGCAACAAATAAACTTCTTCTGATATAAATATGTTTTTGAAAAAAATTAAATCTATAAAAAAATGTAAATTAAGTCTGTTTAATATACATGGTTGTGTATTATTATTTGCGTTAGCAATTACGATAATAAATTAAAGAGTTTTATGATTCAATCTTTCACAGAAACTATAGCAATGTTAAATGTTCAAGATATTCTTTTTTTTTGTCGAATTTTCCGGTGCATGTTGCTTCGTTAAAAGCACTGTAATTATATGTTTACGGGGGTTCAAGGGTAAATGAGACTAAATATATCTTTTATGAGAGGTGAAAAAATAGCATATTGATTTCAAGTAGCTGTGGTGATCTGATTTTCTCTGAGCGCATAAGAGAAATATGTAACATTCACTAGTTAGTTTGATCTATAAATTACAGAAATCAAGTATATAATTCATCACTACGTTAGATGTAATAGCTTATAGAGAAAAGAAATTTTTTGATAATGTGTATATCTTTAATCTGCTAACATGTATTTTTATATATTTAACATACATACGTTTGTATTTTCTGAAATATATTAACTGACATCGCTATGGTGGCGAAGAGACAGAAAACTATTTAATATTTTCTTAATAATTTTTAAGTCTGCTCTCTTTCTGGAAGCTCATTTTCTATTGAGTTTTAATTTGTAGCTAAACTGTTATTCAAAACAGATATGTGAAGAAGAATGTACTTATCCAATAATTTGCTGAGAATCACTATTTTTTAAATCTTTCTAATCTATCTATTGTATTTCTAGTCAGTATAGTATCTATTTCTCGTCAGGTATTAGCCTTATTTGAAGAGCACGAGGATGCATTCACGGCCTTCGTCGAACCCTTCGTCATCCTGCTTATCCTTATCGCCAATGCCGTGGTCGGTGTCTGGCAAGAACGAAATGCCGAGTCTGCGATCGAGGCGCTCAAGGAATACGAACCCGAGATGGGTAAAGTTGTACGAGGAGACAAATCTGGTGTTCAGAGGATTCGGGCCAAAGAGATCGTGCCCGGCGATATTGTAGAAATATCAGTCGGCGACAAGATCCCAGCCGATATCCGTCTGTCCAAAATCTTTTCGACTACCCTCAGAATCGATCAGTCCATTCTAACTGGAGAATCGGTGTCCGTGATCAAGCACACCGACCCTATACCCGACCCACGCGCTGTCAATCAGGTAAAGCAACTGTATAAAAACATTTCCAATACTTTTTCTAACACCATCTCTCAAGTATCAATAATATAACTTCAAAAGTTCATAAAAAGTTCGAAAAAAATTGTAAATATATAAAAACTTTTATTCATAAGGTTTTCAAAGTTCGTTCATGCAAGTCTTGACAACGTTTGTTTATAAATTTTGTTTTGCTATTTTTCTAGGATAAGAAGAACATTTTGTTCTCTGGTACCAATGTTGCCGCTGGAAAGGCTCGCGGAATCGTTATTGGAACCGGCTTAAACACGGCCATCGGTAAGATCCGTACGGAGATGTCGGAGACCGAGGAAATCAAGACACCATTGCAGCAGAAATTGGACGAGTTTGGCGAGCAATTGTCAAAAGTTATCTCCGTAATTTGTGTCGCTGTATGGGCCATCAATATTGGCCACTTCAATGATCCGGCTCACGGTGGTTCCTGGATTAAGGGTGCCATTTATTACTTCAAAATTGCTGTCGCTCTCGCCGTAGCTGCTATTCCTGAAGGCTTACCCGCTGTAATCACAACTTGCTTGGCTCTGGGTACCAGGCGTATGGCTAAAAAGAACGCCATTGTACGATCTTTGCCATCCGTAGAGACTTTAGGTTGTACGTCCGTCATTTGCTCCGATAAAACTGGCACTCTGACGACTAATCAGATGTCCGTTAGCCGGTAAGATGATTAAGCAAACAGGATTATGTATTAAGACGTAGATTTCACTTATAAATTTTTAATGAAATTAACACGAAATAAGAAAATTTTCTTTTTCTCTTAGTTATATATATTTAAATAAAAATATTAGTTTTATAATTTTTTGAATATTTTAACATTTATAGAATGTTCATCTTCGACAAGATTGAAGGTAATGATAGCAGCTTCCATGAATTCGAAATCACCGGCTCGACTTATGAACCCATCGGCGAGATCTTCTTGAGAGGTCAGAAAATTAGAGGACAAGATTATGAAACATTGCAAGAGATCAGTACAGTTTGCATCATGTGCAATGATTCTGCTATCGACTTTAACGAATTCAAACAGGCATTTGAGAAGGTCGGTGAGGCTACAGAGACTGCTTTGATCGTTCTCGCTGAGAAAATCAATCCGTTTGGTGTTCCGAAAAGCGGTTTGGATCGCCGAGCTGGCGCTATTGTCGTCAGGCAGGATATGGAAACAAAGTGGAAGAAGGAATTCACGCTAGAGTTCTCTCGTGATCGCAAGTCCATGTCATCGTACTGCGTGCCTCTGAAATCATCGAAACTAGGAACTGGACCGAAGTTATTTGTCAAGGGTGCGACGGAAGGTGTACTTGACAGATGCACACATTGCCGCGTTGGTGGTCAAAAGGTTCCTCTGACTTCGACCCTGAAAAACCGCATTCTGGATTTGACCCGCCAATACGGAACTGGTAGGGATACCTTGCGCTGCCTTGCTCTCGCCACTGCTGATCACCCGATGAAGCCTGACGATATGGATCTGGGCGACTCCACTAAATTCTACACATACGAAAAAGATCTCACATTCATTGGTGTAGTAGGAATGCTCGATCCACCTCGTAAAGAAGTATTTGATTCAATTGCTAGGTGCCGCGCCGCTGGCATTCGTGTAATTGTTATCACCGGTGATAACAAGGCCACTGCCGAAGCCATTTGTCGACGTATTGGAGTCTTCGGTGAGGATGAAGACACCACCGGCAAGTCGTATTCCGGACGTGAATTTGATGATCTGCCGACATCAGAACAGAAAGCGGCTTGCGCTAGAGCTCGCCTCTTCTCTCGCGTAGAACCGGCTCATAAGTCAAAGATCGTGGAATACTTACAAGGCATGAATGAAATTTCTGCTATGGTAAGTCAGATTATTCTCTGCAATCGTTATCATTATAAATGATACATTGAATTAAGTTAATCTATTGAATTCACTTAGATCTTAACTCCCTCTTGATTTTGTTACAGTTACAATTTTGAAAACAGCTTGTAAATTCTTTGCTTAATTTTCAGAAGAACAATAAAACTGCGATTTGTTTATCCTCAATTAGCTTGGGAGTTATTACGTTTTGAATACTTTGTTTCTATTAAAATATTTTTCCACTCAAAATTTCTAATACTACGCAAGATGGCAATTTCTTGAAATCAAAGTCGAATTTTCTGTTTGACAATTATTTTAGACAGCACTGAACTATTCAACATCCTATTATTCTAACATTAATTAATGTAAAATACATATTTATCATTTAAAAAAAATTTATTTAAACAAAATTACAAAATTTTGCGTTATTTTACTTCCACAGACTGGTGACGGTGTGAATGATGCTCCTGCCTTGAAAAAGGCTGAGATCGGTATCGCTATGGGCTCTGGTACTGCAGTCGCCAAATCGGCTTCGGAGATGGTGTTGGCAGACGACAATTTCTCTTCCATCGTAGCTGCTGTAGAGGAAGGCCGTGCCATCTACAATAACATGAAACAATTTATCCGTTATCTCATTTCTTCCAACATCGGCGAAGTTGTCAGGTATTTACGAGATATATGAGTATAGTGAGGAGTTAATATTGAATCATTATCCGTGTTTGTATGTTACTTTACAGTATATTCTTGACCGCCGCCCTTGGTCTTCCCGAAGCACTGATTCCGGTCCAACTTCTGTGGGTCAACTTGGTCACTGATGGTCTTCCAGCTACTGCTCTCGGTTTCAATCCACCTGATTTGGACATTATGAGCAAGGTAATGTAACAATTAAAAAGATGCACTACTGTCATACATCGAATGCAGCTTTATTGACTCATGCATTTTTTTTATAGCCTCCTCGTAAAGCTGATGAATCCCTGATTTCTGGATGGTTGTTTTTCCGTTACTTGGCTATTGGTGGATATGTAGGCGCTGCCACCGTTGGTTCAGCTGCTTGGTGGTTCATGTACAGTCCAAATGGCCCTCAAATGAATTACTATCAAGTTGTAAGTTTTAACAAGAATTTGCATCATTTATATTCAGAATTATTTGAAGATTTGAATAATTAATCTCTAATTAACATCCGTTATTTGCACAATATAGACTCATCACTTGGCATGTATTGGTGGTGGAAACGAATTCAAGGGTATTAATTGCAAGATCTTTGCTGATCCTCATCCCATGACTATGGCTCTCTCTGTATTGGTCACCATTGAAATGTTAAATGCCATGAACAGGTAAGAAAATACTTATAACATATTTTATATATTGTTTCATAATTGTAATAAATCTGTATTCTTTAGCTTGTCTGAGAATCAGTCGCTCATCTCCATGCCGCCTTGGTCCAACATGTGGCTCATTGCATCCATGGCTCTTTCTTTCACACTCCATTTTGTCATCTTGTATGTCGATGTTCTTTCGGTAAGTAATTATTTACTTCAAGATTGCTAACAAAATTTTAGAAGCGAATAGTTAAAGATTCCTATTTCAATTTGAAGAGTAAAAGTTGTGAGCACTGTTAACTGTTTTGTTTCAGTCCGTATTCCAAGTGTGCCCACTAACGGGTGAAGAATGGGTTACCGTTATGAAGTTCTCCATTCCAGTGGTACTTCTCGACGAAACCTTGAAGTTCGTTGCCAGAAAGATCACAGACGGTGAGAATCCAATTTACACCGTGCATTGGATCGTTCTAATGTGGGCTGTGTTCTTTGGACTGTTGCATATCTGTCCCATATAGAACGTCCGTGAAATAATAATATTAGTCTAGCAGATGATGTTTTTTTCCTATGGAAAAGCATCCGCGACTAAATCCTTGGACTCGCAATTGCATTTAACCGAAGCTCTTCCCACCGTGACGCGGGAAGGCGCGAGATAAGTTATTAACAGAGTGCGTTCAAGTGAGATTTTAACAAATTTGACTGTTGTGCATGGTGTTAGTACGATCATATATGAAATATGCCACCAAGGCCCACCATGCCCGCATCACACACCGTACCCTGACGTCGCTCAACGATCACGGGTTTCGAGTGGCATCGAGTGATCTAAGAGAGACCCCGTCGTAAATCAAAGATTGTGATCGTTAAATTATTTTCTACGAGTGCCTTTTGAACATTGAATTTCCTCTGCAACAAACACAAAAACTGTTCATAGATGTTCTTTCCGATATAGATATTTCCGATATGTTCGACGTCCCAATCCTCCTTCATTTTTTTGCACTATTATTTATACTTTTTTTAATGCACTTTTTTTTATGCACGTTTCGATATGATTAGCAACAGATAAATTATCTAATAATTGTAGCAGATCCTGATAATGCACTAACACAGTTAAAATTCACATTAATTTACGAATGTCTTCTATCTGTATTTCTTGCCGATTAATAATGTTACGACATAAACTTTTATATCTTTGCATGTTCGAAGCGTATTATTGATCTTTGGTCGATTTGAAAAGTACAAAGTAGTTCACCCTTTAACCATATCGGGGATAGTAACTTCGGTTTCGACGCAAACAAATGCATTTGCGACGTATCATTTTTGTAGAATAATACGCACGTTTACACAACGAAGACAATAAAACATTCGGCAGAAATACAGATTGAACGGACATTAGTAGTAGTAGTGGTATTATATTTGTCTCCTGATTTTATTTTCAGGCTCAGTTTAATGCACGCACGCAACAAATTAGCACAACATTCGGTTAACGCGATTAATATATAATCTCACTAAATCTGTTTACATTTACATTTCTTTTCTGTTGCTTTCAATGTTGCTTGTTATAAATATTTATTAATGAATTCTTAGCATCTGGTGTGCCCGTTTCTACTCTGAAGTCAGAAGTGGAGCTGTCTGAGTGTTTGCTGAAATTTCAAGGATATGCGAGGACTTCGCACTAACGGATCTCATTTTGTATCCTGCATACCGTGTCTTCCTTCCTATAGAGATAATGCATGCACGGTATAATTAACAGCACGTTTTGTAAGATCCTTTCTTATAATCTATTCTTTTCAATTATACTGACCTCTGCTGTGCCATGCGATCAATCGATTAATTTAACTTTGCGCGTCGTTCATATTAAGATATTCTTAACATTTAAGTGAAACAGAAAAGTTTATTTTTACCAGATGATGTTTTTGCGAGTTATTCTCTTACAGAGATTTTTCGTCTATAACGAATGCAATAAACGTGAAATAATATTTTGTAAATATCTATATAATCAATATTTTTTTAGATTAGAGGTAGATGATAAAATGAAACAAATTGTCACAAAATTAGCAAGAACCATCGCGATTGGCACAGCAGAATTTCTTCTAATTTTTCTTTGGTACGCGAACACAACATCTGTTCCCTATATGTGTGTATAATCCATATGTGTGATTTATGCATTTGAAAGGTTTACGCAATGCAACAGATTCGCGTATCGCTAATTTCCGGATATGGACTGCAAAGGCTCGTAAGTGTAAGATAAGGCAATCGTTAAGCAGAGGAAAAACAGTTGACCTCATTACCTCTCTCGTACGCTCGAAACTGACGGGGCAGTCCATAGAATTTCTAGCGCGTTCGTTCATGTCAATATCTGAGCAGTGTTCCGAATGCAAATACACTCATCGTCGGGATTGATTATCCGTTTTTATCAATGATAATATCGAAGCTACAATTAATTATAGAATCAATTAAACGACGCGTAGATTTTTTTAAAAATAAATTTGTCCTTAAAAATGATACTTAGTGATAGTTAGGCGCATCTATTTTTTATTCCTGGCTCCCGAAAATCTTTTCATATTTAGTTTCTTTTTTAAATGCATATAGAAGAATCGTAATTTGCTATTGATATAGTCCTTAAATAAATTATTTAAAATGTTAAAAAATATTTAGGACATATGCATAAACAACCTAATTTGTTAAATTAAGTTATTAAAATCGACAGAGTTGGTACTTTCAGCAATGAAGTAACATGAAAGTTGCATGCTAAACACATAGTAAAAGAAAATTTGACTAGTGGCTTTTTCTTGTATAAAATTTCCTTAAGGCTCGGCGATAATTCTGCTTCATTGAATCATAATAATTTTATTAATAAAAAGTTATTCGTTTCATGTAAATTTGAACTTTTCCATTTTCTCACTTCCAATGACTCAGATATTCGCCGATTCTTCGAATTTTTGCATTGAGAGTAAACTTAGTCCCTAATTAGTCGAGGAATTCTCGATTGAGTGAACGCGAATTCGGTCACTGCCACATAACGAAACGAATAATCGGTGTCGTCACGAGTACGTGGGCCTTCGAAACATCTGGCTGCTTAGTCAGTTCATCCCTTAGACCGTATCCTGTCGACGTAAGTGACCGCTAATCAAGGAAGAAAGACTGAAATTCGATAAAGCGCTAATAAAGACAGCTTCTCGATTCTTTCTTTCCCCGTTTATTGAACGTAAAACCGTCCCTTACAAAACGATATTTCCAGCTTCGCCTGCTACATTCGATTAGAAAAGAAAATAATCGACAAGAGAGCAAAGAGCACTATCGTGTCGTAAATGATGGATTTAAGTGGTTCACTTCCATCGGCAGCGCACGATCCAGGGTGTCCATCCAGATCTTCGCAGAGATCGCCGTAATTTCGGCCGTTCGCGATTCAGCGCGCGAGACGCAGCGCGCGAGACGCTTCTCCGCAAACACGTGCAAACGCAACAAGACTGACGATGTGTTCCGGAGAGGAGCGGACGCGTCCGCTGCGTTTTCTTTATTTTTTTTTTTTCTCTTCTTCGGCGCGCGACGCATAATAATTTAATTGCGCCGCATCCGGCGATTCAGGAATCGATCGCGGTCGCGCGGCGCGACATTGTAATATAATTAATTAATTAGTTAACGGTTAAGGCGTGATACTTTGGTATGGGCATAATTAAAACTTAATCAGACCGAACGAGTTAGCGCTGCCGCACTAACGAACTTGTGTCTCGAGTAGTGTTTTGTTCCGCAGTTTAATTTTTAGCACGAGATAAAACTACCGGCTTTGCGTCCTCTGCGATCGATACCTATGCGATATTTGTCCTCAATGTCACTTGAAGGAAAATCCATTCGCGTGGATGAATTCTACAATTCGCAGCGGAATAAAAGTCGAGAAGGATACGTAATATTTAATTGTCATCCGTAAAAGAGATTTGCTCTCACAATTGTATATCTATATAAAAATGTTGACCCTAATCGGTATTCGGATTGGACATTTTCTTTAACTGCGTTGTGAAAAATTGTTTTGACAAATATTTTTTTCAACCTTACATAATTTTGTATCATTTTGTTTCTTGGATTTTGATCTTCAATGTGAACAAAAAAATCGTTCGATTACGTTAACTTTAAGCAAAGATACATAAAGTAGATACACTGGACCCACGAATACCAGTTCAAGAAATTTCGGAGCAAATATCGATTAGGGTTAGACTGCGATTTTTTATATTCTCCGAATTTCGAGGCTTCCTCCTGTGTAATACTTGCCATTATCATGTTTACCCACCGTGGCGTAGAACAATGGATGATGTGCTTGTTCGGATGTTCGGACGCGCAACTAATTGGCACGTGTTATCGGAGCACAGGTACGAACGCGGGGATCAATGCCGGTGCGAAGAGTCTAATGCAGTTCTCTATGACGCTCAATAAGTTCGACGAAATTAATCGGGAAGCACGGATTACAGGGCTACCCAAGTGACGGATCTCGAAAGTCGCGCGAATTTCAATTTTTTGCATCTCACACAGCACAAACCTCCAAAGAATGTCCTAAAGACGGTTTAAAGATATCTTTTGAACGTCCTAAGGCGACCCGGGACGTCTCTCGGATAAAGTATGCTGTGTAAGAGTAAACTGTTGAATTTTTAAAGTCCGACAAATATGAGAATATATCAACGAAATGATACATTTTTCATCCTCTTTCATTTTTGAAATATATGTCAACGGAATGATATATTCTTGATCCTCCAATGATTGAATAGAGATGATCTATCATTAAATTTAAGAAAAACAGAATGCTTTCCTTTTCGTTAATGCATTAATAATTTACATTATTATTCTCGGTACGATTTTTTTCGGGATTCGTCATTTATTGTTCCCTCACATCCGGATTCCTAACTTCGTCCACGATGTATCTGTAAGTACTTGGAAGTGTGCATTGTATTTTATGTTGACCGAGAATGACGGGGTAGTGCCATCACGACGAAAGTAATACTGCGCGACGTCACGCAAATATCAATGCTTGATTAAAAAGTTACAATCCTAGCTTCATTAACATATACTTCATATAACGCTATTATAAAAAGAAGAAACGATTTATATTTATTGTATTCGCTTCGTATATTATATTTATTAATTATAATTTATTAACTGTCAAAATGTATGTGTGCTGAGAGTTAATCGACGAGATAGACATTTCTCGTCGGTAGACATTTCTATTGATCCTTGTGTGACGTTGACAACTAAAACGCGGTGTCCAGCGATGATGAGGCTACAATCGTCGTTTCCTTCAGGAAGTACCTATTTCTCTAACGATAACGAAGTTAATATTAATATTAATAACTTATGGAATACTATAACATCGAGTGATTTCGAGTATATACATTCGCCGCGGACGCGCTCCGCGGCGAAAGATAGTCGAGAATATAATTCCGGATGTGAATTATATATCAGATTTCGTAGAGACGGAGAAATATAAAAATATAGAAGGATTAAAGAGAAATTGTATACACGAATCCGACTGTTGCGCGTGTTACGATCAAGTCTATGCATATACGATAAGTACAATTACGTTATCATGTAATTATCGCGCCACTCCCTCGTGTGTTGGCGTTCACAATTTGTTTTATTTATCGTCCGATTTGCCTTTGTCGTGTATTCAATTTGAATTCGTACGGAGCGACATTATAACAAGTGAGAGTATATGACGACGGAATGATATATAATGCATTACTTGTTATAATAAAAGAATCATGTGTTACTAATGCGTTTCTCGATCCTCCGACGATTGGCCTACTAATCGAAATAATAATTCTCGCTTAAACTCGGCGATTATTGCCATTGAAAAAAGATCGAACACTTAATACGACGTAATAAGTGTTCGGTTCAGTTTATCCCAGTCTAAAACTTTTTACTTTAACTTTTCGACCTTTTTTTTCTCTCTCGTTGTCTATTATCCACTCCACTATATTTCGAATGTTTATTGTAACCACAGCTGGCTTAAGACATTCAGACGTTGGTGGGCCAGAAATAGTATATGAAATTTAGAGATTATTGAATATATACATTTAAAATTCAGAAGGGAAAACTTTTTATTTATAATTTCTTTCTTCGTAAATAATAAAGTAAGATTAAAGTTTCGGCGAGATGATATTTTTAAAATTATTTACAGGATAACTTGCGGGATTATACTCAGCAATGGTTGTTTGGTTCGAATAAAAAGAAATAAAAAAAATTACTGATTCCAAAATATATGTATGAACAAATATTTAGTATTTTAGTACAATAAAATGATAATGAACAGCGCGTTTGTGGCCCACTTATTCAATGATTAAGACAGCTTTCTGCTTGTATAATCCTTATAATTTTTCGACATAACAAATCGAAAGGTTCACAAGGACTTTGAGGACCATCTTGTACGTCTCACCACCGCCCGTCTCATTGTGTGTGGAGGCAAGATTTCGGAAAATAAAACACGTTACGTGATGCCGAAATTTTTCGACACAGCGCATCCATGGCGAATTTTTTTATTATCTACTATGGCTATACTATGGTGTCCCCTATTTTCCTCCCCCCAACCCTTCGAGACTTGTTGTTTGAAATTTTTGCATGCGTTCACTGGAAAAAAGACCGATGTGATAACTGTCGATGACCCGGAATGAGTCCTAAAATCGAGGATATTGAAAACATCCTCCGACACATCACGTGACCTCGACACCCACCCTCTTTTGCTAACTTCCCCCTGCCTGCTGGTGTGCCAAACTGTACAGTCATGAAGAGGGCGATCTTCGAGGGTGACTACGGACGCGCAGACGTGAAAAATACAGGTAATATTGAATTTGTCAATTTTAAGACTAACGAAATTAACATTTAACTGTACACGACATTTAGCTGTAACACGATACACACACACACGCCATCCACGAATTACATTCCGCAAATAAGCGACTTGAAGGTATTTTTTTCTGTCGATGAAAAAAGACTGCGATCTCCTTTTTGTCATGTAATGTGTATAATTTGTTTATGTACATTCCAAAAAGAACTCAGGGGATTAATAACATTTAGCTGTGCAACACGACATGCCATCCACGAACTGCATTCCGCAAACGAGCGATTTACGTGTAGCAGTTTCTTCCGTTTGCCGATGGAAGAAACTGCGGTCTCTCTTTTTGTCAAGTAATGTGTATAATTTGTACATGTACATGTTTATGTCTCCAAAAAGAATTCAAGGGATTGTGGAGCCTCGTCTATTCTACGATGCGCGCGCGCACATTTTAACTACATGAAATGGAATTATAAAAAATCTTATTGATATCTTTTCTAAGGAACATACTCAATCAAGAGAAAGTAAAAAAAGACTTTATGAAAAACTTGATGATTTTTTGTCACAAAAATTGGCTATTTATTGATATTAAGGATCAAAATAAAGTTATTTGGATTTTTTGTTGACCTCTGTGTGTTCCTTGGACTTATTACAATATATTAATGCGAACTAAGAAATACCCGTCAAAGCTAGATCTTTAATTAATGCTTAAATAATTCAATGTAAATTATGCATATGTACTATTATATATATATATATATGCATATATATCATATTTGTAGTCATTTACATTGAATTATTTAAGCATTAAAGATCTTCGACCGATGTAGACATTTCTAGTTCGTATTGATTATATTCTCACATGTATGGTCTAAAATATGATTCTTATATATAATATACAATACATATTTATTATATATTACACATTTCATTCATTTGTCTACGATTTGTATGTAAATATCGCTCTTTAAGGATTTATCGTAATATATTTATTTGTTCTGCACACACAAACACACACACACACACACACACACTTCATATGCTAGCTTTCACAATGTCCCAGATATTAATACTTAATCTTTTCTCTCGTAATTAAGCGCGTTGCTCACACCGCTGCGCTAACGCATCGCCATCGCCAAGGCTTGCAACGACTTAGCAGCTGCAGTAGAGTTGGACAAAAGGCCCGTGGCTTGCCGTAGCTGAGCCAGCGAGGATGACTCGGCGTGGTGAAATAATCGATGTTACCCTCGTATGATTGCAGTGGCACCGCCGGTGATGGCGCCGAAATAAAGCTCGAAGGGATGTAGGGCGAATCTGAGAGACACCCAATCAGCCGCAGCCGAGAAATCGGCCACCCACAGCACACTACACTCTCGAACTGCTCGAAGGGACTGGAGACGTCTTTATTTAACAGTCAAAAAAAAACTGAATATTTCCCGAGTGAAACCACAAAGTATACCCCTCTCCCACCGACACAACACGCACCGCAATAAGCACCACGCATACATGTGCATGCGCACGTTCGTCTGCGTGGCGATCGGCATCCAAGATCGATCTCCCGCGGGATGACGAAGAAATAGAAAATGAGAACGAATGTACGAGTGTAGTTTTATGGCGATCAGATTAACTGCGGTATTAACCGCAGTTGCGTAAAGACCTCGTTCATTTTTGATTGATATTGTTATATTATTATACGCCAGTAGGTTTCATCTAATGATGTTATGATTGTGATGATAAGTAAATAAGGATATTGATTTTATTCGAATCGCGTCAAAAGGTGTACTTCATTTTTATTCGTCATTTTTCCGTTACTGAAAGGGTAACTGCTTGTTACAGCGCGAGAAACGCGTCGGAACGCAATATTCCTTTACAGAAAGGGATAGTTATGTACACGTCGGTCAATCGACGTTGATTTGAAACTACAGCGATCTCATGACCATTCCTTTTTACAAAGGAGATCCGTACATTCGTTCCAACAAGTCACATCCAATTAATCCGAGGACCGATCGTTTCAGACCGTCGAAGTCGAGAGGAAGATGCCGACGCAGTGCCGGCCCGAGAGCTAAAAACGTCTGGCTGTTCAACATTTTTTTTCTTCCCTTTAGTTCGCCACTTAGGTCTTTGCCGCTCGTTAATCGTTCTCGTGTGTATTATGTTACAGTAAATGAGGTGGTCGTCGACAAGTGGGCTCAGTAAATGAGTGGGTCATCGACAGGCGTGATCCCACACTCCGTCGCCGCTGAGCGCGTGAAGCAAGCTCAACCCGAAAATTAACAAAAAAAAAACCCAAACGAAAGAAACTAAAAAAGATGCAAAGACGAATGAACAAAAGCGTGAAATAATCGGCGTGCTTGTGCTCCATAAACAGCAGCAGCAGAAACAGCAACGCACTCGATAACCACTTAACTACCTGCCAACCTGTAGTTCGGGGATCCTCTTTCAAGCCCGGGACTCCCCCGATTGCTGAGTAGATGCGCTGTACTATCTCGCCGCCGCTGCTTTTATTCTTTTTCATCTTCTCTTCTCCTTCTCCGCAAGATCGCTGCGCACGAAAGGTCGTTCGAGTCGAGGTCGTCGTCCCGAGGCCGACGAAAACGAAGCGAACGAACGGCTTTGGGGAAACTCTTCGTCTTCGGTGTCTGGAGCCGCATATTAACGTTCTTAACTCAATGACTGTGCCTTCTTAAAGCCGATTGCGCCAAGGTCGGTCAGCGCTAATTTCAATCGAACTACTTTTTTTCCCTCCTTCTGTTCGTGCAAGGTGTTCATTTGCAATCGCGCTCGTAAAATGTAAGACTTATTGATGTTTTATTATTATTGATAAAAGTAATCGTTTTATCAAATTACTTTTTATTTAATTAAAAGAGAAACTGATGTTAGTCAAAATCTGGAATAATTGGAAGGATCGAGATCAGACTTTCACATTTAACACTTCGTATAGGACAGAATTTGGGTAAAAGATTAGCTGACTCGGATCGTTGGTGCAATTCAGGCTTAATTTCCTACCCGAGCGAAGAACGATAACTAATCGCGAGAAAGTAGGAAAGCGCTGCCTTGTAATCCATTTTTAATCCCTAACGCCTCGGGCGCGTATTAACGCACATAACGCAATCTTAACGGCCACGCATTCCTCTTTTTTCTAAATCCAAGTAATTGTAAATCAATCGCTGATGTTTCTGAAAAATATTCCGAAAGTAATCAGACAGCTTTATTAAAGACGACAGCTTGCCCGAAAGTCTTCGAGTGAGATTTTTAGAGTAAGATCGTATTCGATACGTAACGACCGAGAAAGAGAATCGATCGATCTGCTCGAGAATCTCATTAATAAAGAAAAGACAAATTAAAATGTTTGCCTTGAATGTATTTAGGTTTGCATTCGTTTCATCTCGTCTCTTTTTCGCCCTTCTCTCTCAACCATTTTCAAACACACTGTATTTGTCTCTATTCTTCTCACCTATTTTCCGCGTCGCTTTATCGATATGACGTTCTACCGTTTTCTCTTTTCTATTTTTCTCTTTCTCTGTCACATTTTTCTTCCTTCTTATTCTGTTTTTTTTTCCTCCTCGATATAAAGATCTCGCTTGGCGGTACGTTCTTCCACCTAACAAACTCGACGCGACGGTCATGTCCTCGACTGTACAGGCAAATAAAGGCAACGATCTACATTTTCGATCAAAGCTGAGCTAACTGTTATACGTTGAAGCAATTTTCTCTCAATATATATACACGAAACTAGTTCTATTAATCTGTTTCTGAAAACGGAAGTTATCGATCCATCACTTTACTCCAACATGATTAATCGACCTTTGTCCGATAGTGAAGATTGTTGCCTCGGAATTTCTTGTACATCTTCTATAAAGGCGCAAATTGTATCGTCCGAAGCAATCAATCCGCCGGATTGAAACACGAAAATGGTCCCTTTATCGGGGAATTCCCTTAGCTTCCAAGACGCTGTATTCTACCTGCGATACGAGAGAGAATCCGCGTAGAGATTAGGTATCCAATCGCAACGCGAAGATTAGGTGCCCGGTCTTCCCTATCTATCACGAACGACGGAATCCTCCGTAGCTTGGAACGTCCGGTTCGACGAGAAAAAGACCGTCACTCGTACCTGGAACGCTCAATGATGTCACAGTCCGTCCGCGCGCGCTCGCGTTTATCCTGCGGACAGTCGCGAGAGAGAGAGAGAGAGAGAGAGAG